GCCCTCCTCCACCAGCCCTTCTCTCCCCCCTGTGCCCACTCCTCCAGTAGCCCCACTCTGATCATGTGAGCTCCCCTCCTCATCCTCTCTCCTAACACTTCCCTCTACATACCTGCCCTGCCTCTCTCCTCTGATGCTGGTCCCTCCCCTGCAGGTGTCTGCCCTTCTGCTTCACCCCCAGAATCCCCTGGCACCTGCACCCTCCTGGTGCCTCCCCCCTCTCTCACTGCCCCGCCTCCTTTGCCCTCTTTTTCCCCTGATACCCGCCCCCTCACCGCCCTCATGCCCCTGTGCCCTCACATATGACTTGCTCCATCCCTGCCTTCCTCATGCCCACCCCTTCTTTCAAGCATTCTCCCAGCACCTTCCCCTCCCTCCTCTAGCCCCCAATGCCCTTACCCTTTCCTCTCCCAGTATCACCCTGTCCCCCCTCCCACTGTTACCTCCCCTCCTGCCCTTTTCCTCATTGTCTGCACTTGGCCCCCTGGCATTTGTCTCTCCTGTACCCCTGTCCCTTGGTGCCTTCCCCTTTCTTCTTCTCCTGACCTCCTCCCCTCCCCTTAGCACAAGCCCCTTCCCCATATTTTTCCCCTTCCCCTCCCCTCCTCTCAGCACAGTCCCCTTCCCCATATTTTTCCTCTCCCCTCCCCTCTCTCTTTCAGAGCACAGCACAGCCCAAACCCCTTCCCCTCCCCTACCTGACTTCTGCCTTCCACTTTGAGGGGTTGCCGGAGCCTTTTTGAATCCGACAGTCGCCGGCTGTGACGTCACGCCACTACGTCATGCCAGCATCCTGGCGTCTGCTGGGGTCCTGCCCTCTGGCTCGCACCCCGCCTACTCGCGCTGGAGCTGCATGCAGGCAGCCCGGTGCTGAGAATCGCTGAACTTCCCCCTTCCTGGCGGCGCTCTGCTCCTCCACCGGCCAGCGGATCAGATGGGGCCGCACTGCCCGTAGTGCGGGCTTCGGCCAGCCCGTCAAAATGGCCCACCGGGCCAGTCCGCCCCTGCACTTGCCAGCTGGTAAAATCTACTCGCCATGGGCAAGTGGGTGAGTGTATTTGTCGAGCCCTGATCATTAGTGCTGTCTTTACTGCTTAAAGCAAGGGTGGACAATAATTTTTAATGAGGGAGGGAGGCACTCCAAGATTTTGGTGAGTGGTCAAAGCCCATGCTTCTATGAAGGATGTGTGGGGTCTGGAACAGCAAGAGGGGTACAGAAGGGAGCTTGGGAGAGAGTACTGGGGTGCAGGAAGGGGTGTGGGATGAATTCTCCAATCCCTTCTCAGCTTGCAGAGCAATTAGCAGCCAGGTATTTAAAACAGCAGGAGCTGCTGTGTAGTGAGGATACCAGCGAGGTGGCCATGGGCCGGCTTGGTGGGCAGGATTTGGCTTGCTAGCCACCTCTTGCCTGCTCCTGACTTAAAGGAAGCTCACATTGCAATTTGGTACAGAATTTGCCAGTCTTACCTCAGTTATTCCTGAAATAGTGGGTATTTTGCTATCACAAGTATCTCCTGGGGATGGCCATGAGGTCCTTATCGAATCCAGGCTAGGGAATCTCCAATGTATCATCCTGAATCAGCCTCCCGCAGCAAAGTCTGACTCCTGTCTTGGAGAATCCACCCCCACAAATCCTGCTGCAGGGCCTACTTGGGAAGTTAGGAAGCATTCTCATAAGCATGGAACTATGTCTTCCTCTAAAAATCAGGCCTCTTATCCACCAGCTGTGCCTGTGTGGGCTCAATATGTCTTAAGTCCCAGAAACATTAGGCTCCGGGTTGTGTTCCGTCAATACCACCATCTCCTCTCAAGATCTAGGACCCTCTGTCACTGGTGAAGACTGACTGTTGCCAGATACCATCTTCCGCGCTGGCACCAATGACCAGGACAGAAAGTGTCCTTCTTACACTTGGAAGATTCTGATCTGAGCCTGTACCACAGGATGATCTCACCCTCTATTGGGACCTTCTGTTTCCAAGGGACCCATATCTCCTCTGGGAGTTCTTCTTGCATTACAGAACCTGTTGATCACCTCTCCCCCATGCAATATAAACCCCTCAAATGGCACTGACCATCACTGAAACCCAAATGAGCCTTTTCTTCCTCATGAGTTTCAGAACCATCAGAAGAACCACTTCTTCCATACCACTGTTATCTATTTCCCAGGAGACCTGCATGTCTCTGGAGCAACCCTTGTCTCACCTGGCCCAGAGCCACTGTCCTCCATGACCACCTTTCAATCACACCTGTTGGCACTGAGGGCCCTGGTACGAATATTGCCCTTCAGAGTTCATCTCTTCTTCCAGGGAGTCTCCACCTGTTTTCCTTCCGAGAAAATTGCTGAACTTGCCCCTGGATCTCATGACTAGGAGGATTACTACACTGATTCTGGTGATTTCACCAGAATCAGCTAGAAGTACCATCATCTTCTTTGTATGAAGCATTGACGTCAATGTCCCCTTCCTCCTTAGATGACTTAAAGTAGAGAAGAGAAACCCCTAGATTTACTAGGGAGGAATGTTTTCTTGTTCTGCAGTTTGTAGTTCATGATAGCCAATCATCAAGCACTACTGGCTAATTATGATTTTCCTGATCTATGCCATATTTGAGGAATTCACCAACAGCCTCCCACAGCAGAATCATACTCATTTTCAAGTTCTCATTGAGGAACCTAAAGAACTGCCCTCCAATCTGCAGCTGATGTAGCCGATTTAGATCCATGGCTATAGCCATTGTTATGCAAAGGAAGTCTTGCCTTTATGCCTCTGGACTTCCCCAGGAATCCTGAACACAATGGATCTCACCTCTTTGATCAGAAGATGGATGAAGTCCAACACATCCTAAAAGACTCTGGAGATAGCCTTTGCTTGCTAGGCATCTACACAACTGTCCCAAGAGACATTTTTATCATCAGTCCACCACATTGCTATATAGATATCAACACTTTTGCCATCAGAGACCCTGTGAACCACCACAGAAAAATCAAATGGTTCATAAGTCCCTCTTCCCACTCGTTCCATCTCAGTTCCCACTCCCTGACCAGAAGATATTTTTAACATGAGCTTAAGAGCCACAACTGACTGAGCCTAACACCGGACAGCCTCACTGCTTCATTCACGGGTTGCCCCGCATTCTCTTTGTAACAACTGAAGTGCAATAGCAATGAACAAGTGAGAGCTGAACTTCATCCACTATGGCTATATGATGGAGTTTGTAATGCTACCTTCTCCAGAACTCCCTATCCACCTTTTGGGGACTACGTTCATGACAGTAATCTCACTCAAGAGGTCAGTTCCACACTGCAGCAAGGAGCAGCAGAACACGTTCCTCCAGAAATCTGGGAACAGGTTTTTACTCAGCCAACTTCTTAAAACTCAAGAAAAAAAAGGGAATGGAGA